CGTCCTGGATGCTGAAGACTAAAATAGAATCAAAAGATGATCAAATCAGAAAAAGGAAAGTCCATTTGGTGAACATGAAACATAATGAACAAGACATCCAGGGTAGCAGAGGAACCGCAGAAGATTCATGGGGCAGAAAACACACAAGATAACTTTTGTGCTTCCTCCGTAAGCAAGGGTGCACCTTACTAATTGCCATTACCTTAATTACCTTGGGACCTTGTCAAGATTGAGGTAAGAATCAAAATGGATTTTATTCTCTGGAAAAATGAAAGTTAAGAAACCAGATGCTATATGCAGACCACAGACCTACCGAACCGCAGGAAACCCGCACCTCCCTAGCCACGGACCGCTCCCCAGAGCCACCTCGGGGTCCTGCTCAGCTTGCCGGGATTGAGGCACACCACAGCCTGCTACAGCCAGGACCTGGGGGGCGGACAGGCTCTTCTTTCTGGCACTGTCACCCTAAACCAGAACCGTCTTCCTGACACAAATCCCCTTCTGTGACCTTGTTGTGCCTAAATGTATTCCTAGGGATCTTCCATAATCTAGAAGTTCAGTGACTGACTTAATTAGGATAGCAATTTATGTATCTTCTGTTAACAAAAAGCCATTGTGATACACCACTAGATGATGACGTGCAGACGTACTTTCTGAACACCAGCTCCGGCTGGGTGAAGCAGACCATGCTATCACCTAACTCATTAAGAGACAGCTCATCCAAGTGACACAGACACAGCCTTTTCTTTACAAACACGCTGGTGAGCAAGACCTGAAAAATCTCTGCATGTACATGAATCCAAGTAAACCTACAAAGATGTCTTATACTACCCTGCAATGATAATAATAAATGCAGCTTACTGTCAGTGCTGGGCAGAGGCAATAGATAACAAGACAACCTGAGCAGTACTCTCGTTAGGGCTCTCTGGTACGGAGAGCCTATCCTACATATTGACTTTTCCACGCCTGTTGTGGTGGGGGGTAATTCCACATTTTGCCTTTGATTCCCTCAGGATGCTCCATCTGGGTTCAGATCAATGGCCCACCCAGCTGTTTCAGCTGAAGTCTGCTTTTAACTCGCCAGCTATAAAACAGTCATATACATTTCTGGTGCACTCAGGAAGAAATACTACTGGTCAAGTGACATACATTCCCCAGAGAAGTTCATCTGAGTAAACCAATTTGTGTCTGGAGGAACCAATTTTGGGTTGTTCTGTGAACTTTTCAAAAGGACATTAAGTACTTTTCTGTACAGTGTAAACAGGACAAAGCAAACCCAAAGACCTTTCCCAATGTTTGAGGGAGCTGAAGAGCCACTCCCAGCCCCAAAACACCATGGATGCGGAAGGTGCCAGCCAGAGGGCCCTGGAAGGAAGACTGACCCCCCGACAGGATACACTCTCACAGTACCTTTTCTGAAATCCCCAGTTAGCCATTTAACTGCTGCACATAACCAACAACTTACATAACTGATTTCCTACACTTTTAATTCCCATTTCACGACATGCTTTGTTTTTGCTTCTCCACTCTCTTTAAAGAGGGGAAAAGCAGCTCAACTCCTGGTTAAGGAGGTAAAGGGCAATCTGACTTCATTTAGAGCTCCCCGTGTCCCTCTGGTATGCTCTAGGGATCACAGCACTGGATTCTTCACACAGAAGAGAAAAAGAACTATGGGGAGTAGCACATACATAACACTATCAGTAAGCCAAAGACAAGAGACATCCCCCACCCCCCCATTTCACACAATGGATAACCAAACCTTCAGCCTTCAAAGCATTTGACATTGCCGGCTTCATCTTTTGCTGTTACTGCTCTCTCACATAACAAATGGAAGAATTGCTCTGCATGATCTCCACCTGCCCAAGTCCTCCTCCAGCACCTAATGGTAGTTCTACCAGTAATGCAGAGACATCTCTTTTCACTGACTCAGGCAATTGCTTAGATCAGACACCTGGAGACCTCAGCTGAGGTGAGATGATACTCACACCCAGTCTTCAGTCTCCCATTCAATTAATGAAACCAACATGCTATGCTCCTGGGACCACCTCCCTGTCCTTCATTATAAATGCTTGGGAAAGAAAACCCCTGGTATTTGCACACTTGCTCCTGCTTCAATTCCTTTAATCTGTCCTACAGCAACACAAACTACTGCTGCTTTGTGGTGCTGACAACAGGGAAGAAATAATTTAAAGTCCTTTCAGCTGTTCAGTTTGTGACACAGGCTTTGGTGCTCCTTGTGTGCAGTCTCACATAGCTGACGGTGTGCAGTGTGTCTGCAGCATCTCTCAAATGAGACGAAGTGTCACAGACGCCTGTATGTGCACATGGAAATCTGTGTGAGTGGATTGAACAAGTAAAGAAGAAGAAATTAAAAAAAAAAAGGCAGGGTTACCCATCTATGCTGGTCCATCCTCTAGGATGGAGCTGGGACGTGCTGGCTGATTCACACCACCACTAACAGAGAGAGGGAATGAGATGGGCGGTAACACAGCTCCCCCAGTCTCATGAAATGAGGGAGAGCGGGCCAGGAAGAGCAGAGGGACCCTCTGCGTGCTGTCTGGATGGGAAAGGCTTAGCGAGCCTTCGGCTTACTGCGTCCTAGAGAACACATGCAGGAGACAGCCAAGATAAATGTACTGAGTTCAGGAAAAGCTTCAGTGGGATCCTACACCTTCTTTGACATGAAAGTCAATTGTGCATGAAATACAAAGCCCTAGAAAAACAGACTTCATCAGTTCTAGTGCTTGCAGAACCACTTGCACAATACGTTAAAAAATAATAATAGAAAACCTGGTCATAAAATATTGGCAGAATGGAGCTGCATGTCCAGAAGCCAAAATGAGTCAGAAGAAAGAGAAGCCAAATAGCTGCAACTTATTTATTAGAGATCTATTGAATAAATGGCCCTGGGAACTACTGTACCGATTCATCCTCAACAAATGAGTAGCAATATTAAGCAGACCATATTTGTGATTATTAGTATTTTTTTCAAAACTATGCAGTACTACTTTTTCCAGTCTAACAGCTAACCTTGGAGGCTGGGCAGGACCTGTTACACTCTTCCTGACATATCTCTAATTCAGTAAATTGCATGGGAAAGCACCCTGAATGCAAGTGGCTGGGAACAAAAGTCACCTGCATTGGCCCATAAATACAACAGCAGAGGCGTGGAGTGAAGTTGCTCTGCACCTGAGTATGGGGCCGTTGGTCTCTGACGGGGCCATGACCACTGACACCACCATCACCACAAATCCTGGTGATCAGGTGTGAACACCTCTCCGCTAGAGCAGCCGGAGCCCAGTACAAGCCTAAGAAGTGTTTGACTTCCCTGCTGACTGTGGAAGGGGAAGGAATATCTGCTGGATTTTCAACTTTGTTCAGCCACAGCAACAGTTTGTGCTTCAGCGTGAGGGTGGGAGAGAGAAACGTGGGTTCAGTTTTAACCAGAGAAAGCTATGCCCTTCCTCCGGGCTCCTCTGCCTCCAGACGGAAGGGCTGTACAGCAGACATCGAGATGAGAACCCATGCACTATCAAAAGCAGAGCACGTGCTTTGCAACTAACTTTAGTTGTGTTACTGAAAGCTTTAACTAAGTCTAATTAATGTTTTTAGCCCATGGCATTTGTATCACTTGGTTTGATCTAATAGCACTCCTTTTCCTAATCCTCTTAAAATAGGCTGTTTTAAAGGTTTACTCAAGCTAACGCTTAGAGCATGATGCTAAAGTATTGTTACTATGAGCAAAGCTATTTGGTGTTCATTAGCAGGATGACAATTAGCTGAAAAACAAGTGTAGCTTGAATTACAGGACTCATGCCTCCGTACTAATTTCATCTCAAGCTCCTAAGGACACCAAGCCACAGAGTGCTCATGGAGGAAGGAGAGCGGCTCCTTGCGCTCCCCGTGGCAGCCAGGCAGGGAGAATCCTGCACAGATCCCCGGGGCCAGGCAAGCGCCCTGCCCACCTAGGAGTTTCACTTCCACAACCACAGCCATTTTCATTACTAGCTTTTGTGGAACTTTCTCCCTCCAAACGCTTTCCTTTCTTTTCCCCTCACCTTTTTTCTTTTCCTACTGTGGCTCTGAATGGATCTGAAGGGCTTCTGCTCTCTGGTATTAAACAGATACCACAGAACAGGACTACCAGATTTATTTTTGTCTGTCTGTGCCACAGGAGGTTTGAATGGGTTTCTGAAACATCACTGTGGCAGACTTTGGGGATAACAATACTGATTTTGGTCTTCAACCAGCTGTCTTCTCAAATATAATCAAGCTACTGTATTCTTTTCTCTCCCCACAGCAAGCACAGTTATTTTATATTTGAACTTTTCCGTCTTTGAGAACATGTTTACCACTGCCTCCTTGAAGGACATTGGATCTCATTTACTTGGGCTTCCTCTGTTCTGCTCTCGCTGTGAAGAAAAGCCCTTTATGTTGACGTGACACTAAAAAAATCCATAATCATAAGTTAAAAATAAAACCCCTGCTAGAATAAGATCAGCTGAATATACTGAATTGCTTTCTAAAGTAGTGTTTGGTTCTGCCCTGTACTTTCATGTTTGACTTCAATTTTCTTCAGCAATTCGGAGGCCTTTAAGTAACCTTATGTCACTGAATATAAAAATCACGGTGTATTTATCGCATAAATAAGAGTCCACAGGTTGTCTCACTTCAAAAGCCTTATTCCAACACAAACCTGGTTTTTACCACTCAGAAATTGCCACCAAGGACGCAATAAACCCCCGAGCCTGCAGCTCCTGCCTGCAAGAGCTCTCCGGGCACAGGAGGGAGCACTAGGAAACCTGGTGGGCTCTCCAGCTTGCAGGGTTTTACCGGACATGCTGTGCTAGCGAGGGCTGCGGTTGAGCGCAGCACTGCACCGTCTCACAGCCTCTTAGCTGCAAAACCAGAAATGATTTTCCCGCTGAGACAGTGCTTTGGGCCAGGCTGACTTCTGAGTCCTCTTCACCTGGCACAATCCCCCAACCAACATCCTATACTTGCCGCCATGACGAAGAGCGGCCAGTGCCACCCTTCCTTAAGGGAAGACCTGACCTTTACAACCAGAACCACAGCAAACCAAACCCTTCGACACCGGCAGAAGCGCAAGCCATTTGGCGTGACGTTTAGCCCTAACCATGACAATACGCACCATCACCAGATGCCGATGAAGGCAGTAGGGTTCATCAGTTCCAGCACCATCAACCAGCACCATCTTAATGCCCTCTGTTGCAGCAATCACTGCAGGGTTGAGGCATCACTGCTGTCTGCACCGTTTTCTGCCTTTTTTTTCTACAAACCCCACTGATCCTGAGGAAGCATTTGGAAGATAAGAGGAAGGGATGAAGAACACGTAGTGGAATTCTTTGTCCAGAGTATTTATTGCAATCTTGAGTCATCCTCTGCAGTGGCGGGTTTGATTCTCCAATAATTTCACACTACATAAAAATCGAATCTGTGATAATTTAGGTAGGCTATCAAGTACTGCTGATCTTGACCATAAACAAAGCAAAACCAGTAATTGCTTTTACTGAAAAATTATGTGTGTTTTAGGGTTTTAACACTGGACTATCCCAGGGGAAGGAGAAGAAGATTGGAAAGCATTGGTTTCAGAAAGCATGAAATTGCACAAAAAGTAGCAAAAATTAGATGACACTGAATTTCCACACATAAAAGCAAACAAAAATTCTATAATATTGGCTTCTTCAATTTAATCCAATCAGCCTTTGAGATTTCCATTTGTTTTGTTATAAAAAATATCAATTCATCACAATACTGAGGTTTACAATTACTTCATTTTCCTTCTGTTAAAAAGAAAAAGCTATTGACTTAAACAGTGCATACACAACCATCACTTTTCAAACCAGAATTCATATTTTTCTTAAAGGTTTTTCTTTTGGAAAGCTATTAATTATTAGAATTCAAGAGCACAACAGTAAAAAAACATACACAAAGGGTTAAATCTCGCAGCCCTTGCTCTGTCCCAGGAGCCACAGAGGGCATTTGCAGCATCTGGTGGATGAGGATCACAACCTACCAAGCGAAGTGAACGCTTAAGTACTGCCCCTGACAAACACCACATTTATGGCCGAATTTTCTGTGAGGGAGGAAAAAAATAAAGATTTATGGCTACGACAAAAGCTTTCCAGTCCTGTGGCTCACAAGCTGCAGAGCAGCTCCTTGCAGCCTGCAGTCAGAAGTGTTGCAAAATTTAATATTAAGGCTCACGGAGCTCTGCAACTTCAGGAGTCAACATGATCCCCAGCTGAGGTTCGGAAAGCATGCAGAGGGCTCTACTAAAACCATTGGATTCAAAGACCTTAAATCGTTTTAGAATTTAAAATATGAAACTTCTCTTCCTATACTGCCAGAGTTTTACTTCTTCCTCTTTGCTGTTCCACAGTCTTACAAGGCTAAATTGGGTGCCATTAATACCTAAAAGAATTTCAGGGTTATCACATAGGATTTCTACATTTTACATTTAAAATATTCCTGTAAACTGCAAAGGGCAAGCCTGGGGCTTGATGATGCAAAAAATCCTCCCACTAAAATTACAAGTGTGATAGACTTGACAAGAGATTGACAGATCGAGGATCCTCAAGGCAAGAAGTGGGAAGGCCATAACCCATCCGTGCCTCTCCGGGGCTGCGGAGCCACCGCTCCGCACATGAGGAGCTCACCTTGAGTCCCACTCCAGCTTAGACTATAAAGTACCCATTATCCTCGCTTGGTGCATATATAGCTTTTCTTAAATTAACACAGATGCCATTTCCTATTATAAATAATTTGTTCCACAAATAGACATTTTCAGGAACAACATCTGTGCCTGTGCTTAATTTGCAGCATGCTGGTTGTCTTACAGGAGTCAATGGGAGAGGTCACACCAGTTAAACTAGTCGTGAGAACTGAACTTTGTGGGATCGGGGCATTCATTTGCATTTTGCTTTTGTTTTGTCTTGTCTTTGCCTGCCATGGTTTTTGCCGTATTTCCAGCGGCACGGCTCTTGTGGGGTGTGGGGGATTTATTTGCGGGGGATATTGGAAATGCCAGCCTTTGTCTTTCAGCTATTGGTTTTAACATGAGAGGCAGTTGTAAATATTTTCTAAATCATTTCAGAAAGCCTCAGAGGCAGGTTTTTAAAAGATAATTTTTAGTAGCATTGACTTTAACTGTTCCATACTGCTGATGGGGCCCTTGCACGCGCATCTCCAAGCTGCTGTAATAAGAAGTAGAAAAACAGGGGCCAGGCCGTGCCCTGCCACGTCCCCTAACCCAGGCAGGTGGCAAGCTCTGCAATCACAGGCACCGCTGCGCTTCAGGGCTTTGCACTTCCGATCACGCCTGCAACACAACTTACAGCTACCACGGGCTGAACAAGCCCCAAGACGCAAAGGGCCCGTGTTGTGGCTGTATCCTTGCGTTAGCCGAGAGCACGCCAAAGCTGCTGGCTGGGGACTGTGCCCAGGGAGGAAGGGCGCATCCATCGGGGATGCTCTCGAGCAGCAGCGCTGCTGGCAGATAGCACCAGCAGCCCCCAGGCTGCGGGGTACAAGCAGGGATCCCCTGGGATCCCCGCACTCCCCCCTCATGTGCTGCCCCTCATCTTCTACTGCCCTGGACCAGTCTCCAAACCCTGGCACCAAACTCATCTCTGACCCGGCAGTTGCCTGGCAGGGTGGAACTCCCCTGGGGTTGGGAACTCCCTGCCAACCGGGCAGGGACGCCTGGCATTGCCGCAGCTACGTTCATCAGGGTTCATCCTGCAGAGCCCCACGGCAGCGCTGCACCTCCGCAGGCCTCTGCCCAGAGGAAACATTAACCAACTTGCTGTTCAGAGCAGTTTTGTGTGGTGTGGCTTTGTTTGTCAAACCTGAGCAACACGGGGAAAAGCTCTTCAGTGGCAAGCATGAAAGATAAGAGGTCCCCAGTGGCTCAAAATGTATACTGCTGCTTTCGTACAGCAAATAATAGATACCAAACTGCCCCCAAGAAAATTTGTTGTAAGATCAGGAGATTTTACAAATCATTCCTTCCTCCTTTTCCAATTTTCTCCACACCCATAATCTATAATTTCACGTCTGGTATAGACCTGATGGATTGCAGCACTGTTGATATACTGCAATAACAAATAAACAGTTGTTATTATTAATGGGTCTATAAATCACATGCCAGCTAATTGTAGTCATTTACATTCTACCTGCAACACTGCCGCTGCCATTGCAGCTGAACATGGCATTCCCTGTTGTACCCAGCCATAAAACCACGGGTGCGTGGCGTCCCACGGCTGCTCCGTCCATCCCAGCGGCAGCCGCCCCTCCAAGCGGGAACGAAATGAAACTTCCCGCAGCATGATGGCTGTGTGAGAGAGCATCCTGATATAAAAATGAATGTATTCAGGTTTTTATCTCTGGTTAATTTACTGCTATGAATATATGGAAAACTGAATGCTAATTGAGCTGGTACGTCTGGGCATTCATTTTTCCCATTGCCGCAAAGGAACGGGCAGTAGGTTTTCACACCACACCAAGGGATGACACTGCAGCAGAGCTCCATCATTCAGCCAATACACAATTTGCAGCTCCTCAGATATAAAACTCAGCAGCAGGCATGTAGCCGCAGGCTCCTGATTTCCAATGATGATCGGCCGCGGTGGTTAATCATTTCGTCTCCATGTTGTGAAACCCTTCCATGCATTCCTTCAGTGTTATCTACTGTTGTGTTGGGTTTTAGCTCAGGCACCTCCCTTGGGATCTCAAAAACCAGCAAGTTGTCATTTGAATGGATGTTTGCAGAATAGGTGAGACAGACTCTAAAGGCCTGGGAACTACCTGGTTTGTTTGGTTTTTTTAATGAAAAAAGCCAGAATCCCCTGCTGCCAACTCTGGTGACGTGGTTAAATAAAGTCCTGGTGCCACCCTGCTCGCAGGGATGGTGGGCAAATTGCATGGCTGGTACGAACAGAGGCTCCAGCTCGGGACGGTGCTCAGTTACACACTTCAGTGATGTGAGGGCAGCGGTGCTGTCCTGAGTGAGCGCTTTGTTTCAGGTCTGTCCTGTTCCTGCTAAGAGGAAAGCGGACCACATTTCCCCAGTGATATCTCCCTGGTTCTCCTGCCTTCTGTTAATCCTAAGACTGGTGAAAGGAGCAGATGAAGGAGGCCAGGTAATCCCTGCTGATGCATTTGCTGGCAGGGAAGCCTTTTTCCTTTGAAACAGCCTTATTCCTTTGAAACACACCGCTTGCCTTGGGTTCATGGCAGGAGGCTGCATGATAGGCCCTATCCCTGGTTAAAATAATGCTGCGCAAAGGTCAGTGTCCTTTGCAACATGGCAGGATGCAATAATTCCCTTTTTCTTTCTGAGCTGGTGCAAAAAGTCAGTGTGCTGGTGCCTGGCCTTCCGCAAGGCCACAGCTGCGTGGTGACATGTCACCACCTTACGGCAGCTTTTGCATGGGATGAAAATACCAAGTGGATTAATTGGTAGGAGGGTCTGGATGGTATGCAGTTGGGAAGAGGCCTGCACTGATAATGAGAAACAAAAATGCTCACTTCCAAACTTTCACTCACCAAAAATCAGGCCATAATAAGCACTTGTCAGCAGAAGAGGAAAAAGTGTTTCAACACCAGCTTTCAGGGGAGTGGGCAGGGAGCAGACCAGCAGCAGGAGATGTCATCTCATTGTTTCTCCCAGGCTCTCTGCCCCAAGGTTAGAAATTCTTCCAAGTCTCCCTTCCAGGATAAAATCTCCCCCCCCCTACACCCCCCCAAGGCTATTCCTCCTGATCTTTAATGTGTTTTCATTGCTGAAAGAAAAGAATGTATCTACTACCAAATTTGCTGTTGACTTCTGGTGGGGCTCAGCTACCCTCTCTTAGCTTGAAAACACATTGAATTAATTTGGACATAGACAATAAAACAGACTTATAACATGAGAGCTTATTCTGCATTATTTTATAGAAAAGAACACTCTCTGCCACTTGAAGACGCCTCCCTTCCCCAGGGGAGGT